TGGATATTGTAAGTCCAAATGGGTCCACTAGATCTCATATCAGAGAGAAAACGCACACACATACCTTTGTGAATCGCCCCCATCCGCTAATTCATCCCTTCCAAGACACACCATCCTTCGAAGGTCACTGAGAGCACTCACATGTCGTGAGGTACATGAAACTTGGCGAGCAACATCGGACCCATCTACGCCGAGTCGTGCGAGAACAAGAGTAATCCAGCGTCTACAATTGGTGTTTCCTTTGGAAGTATCCCCGGTAGATAGACTATGTTGTCAACGAAGTACTCATATAGATTGACATGATGAGCTGCGATAGGTCATGACTACTTGCTTGCCGAACTCTGAAGATAATTAGGTGCCATGGTCAACGGGGTGAAATGAGCGAAGACAGGTACGCAAAAAACTCGCCTATATGGTCAAATACATCTTCCCGTGTTCTCGAATTCTCATGAATATAATTTGAGAGAAAATCACCTCCCCAATCGCGTTCCAGTCTGAGTCTGCCCCCAAATAGCCAACGCTGACTTTGACATCGTGGTCCGTGTTCAAAATGTGATGGCGTCAGGGAAGCTGTGCATCGGAAGGGACATGTATTGAGACGGTCCGCCGGCAACGGGCGGACCGTGTCCTCCCATCAGTCATTATCTTGTTTCAGGGCTTGAGCTTCAACTTCTTGACGTTGTTCCCCGTCAAGTTCAAGGTCTCATGCGGTAGCTCTGGCTCATCATACTTTATCAGGTCTTCACAGCTCGCACAGCAAGCTCAATATCTTCAAGTTAGCTTTGCGGGTCGACCTTGTAATTAGAGAGGATTGGAATCGCAATCCAAGGGCAGGACAAACGTCTGTTATTACACTTGATCGCGATGAAGGTTTTACATGGCACTTTTTTTGCTCTTCGTGAATCAGTCTTGATGCTTGATTACCAGAGCGGCTGAGCAACTTGTTTACAGATTTTAGAAATAGGGGACGATTTTGTGCATGTGGCACGTTCTACTAGTGGTGGCGAGCAAGGTAAGATGTACACTAAAACTTGGTAGGGTGCCGCTGACTCAACTATTTTCTAGGTCCAAAACTGAGCCCCTCTTCCCCCGCCACCAATGTCAACATCGCTCGTCTGTGTAAGACTACTCAGTTCATTGAGCAGCTGATAGCCTTGGGGACACGAACAGGTATGACATTCAGAGCTGGGGAATGGATCGAGGTGGCGCGTCCGAAGAGTAAAAATTCAGTGTTGAAACAATAGACCCAACGAGGAATGAGATACGGAAACGAAATTGAGGGCACCGTCCTATCACCTGATGATTGATCCCCGTGCGATTAGTATGGGTGAAGAGATCATTGACCCACTACTCATCAGCTTCTCAGAAATGCGCCTCTCGAGCCTCTCCAAATTCTTTCCCACCCCCTTGCTCCGTCTCGTTGCGAGTTTGATCCCAACCTTCTCATCGGTAAGTCGCGTCCATAGTCGCCGGATGCTAGCACTTTCTCGTTCCTTCTACATTCAGGAATTGGTAGTTGAGGCTCCATCCTCAAGACCCAGAGTTAACAGCTTGGGAACCCGTCAGACGGCTTTCGAAACACGTGCATCAAACGAATATTTGAAGCGCACACAAACCGATGTTGCGGCGAAGTTGTGGTGTACGCGGACGAGGTTGATCTGCTTCCGAGCAACTCACCATCAAAAGCAGCGTTGACAGCAGTCCTCGACCCTGCGAGAGTTACATGCGTTCGATATCGGAAAGGGGAACTCAAAGACTCAGCTGATGAGCGGAGAGCATGTACACTCTGTTTCAGCGCGTGGTATGATCACAATGGGCCAATGCAGGGTATAGATGATGGTGATGATGACTAGTAGTTGTGTACACCTACAATCTGTCCAAGCAAGACTGTATACATATATCGGGGGAAGATACTAAATTCCTTGTTGAAGCCAATGTTCCCACGCCACTTTGCTCAGGTCTGTCAGTAGTCGATACTCAAGATCCTTAGTGCTATGTACCGGGGCACCGTTGAGAATGCTTTGTGGGCTAAACCCCTTTCTACTGCCACTTTTGACATTTTTGATCTATGCGAAACTAGCTAATCCTCAGAAGTAACGGACAACCCTGGTCACAATAATGATAGGTATCGCTTTCATACCCAGGGAATAGATCGAAGTGGCGCATCCGAATGACAGGCATTGAGGACGAAATCAGACGGGGGCGAGGAATGGAAACGATAATGAAAATCGAGGGCCGAGTGAGTTTCGGCCCCCACGATGGCCCGGGTATAAGTAGACATGAAATTCTCTTTAAGGACTATCCATTTCCTACCATTCCCAGGAAATGCGGTACTCTATAATCTCCAAAGCCTTCTCTACGTCGTTGCTCTCCCTCCTTTTGATCATAAATCCTACACTCTCACCTGCAAGTCCACTCCCACTCGCTTCACACGTCGTCGAGCTAACTAACGTCTTCCTATTTCTCAACATTCAGGGACAGGGACTGGTAGCCGGAGCTCCAGCAGCCAACAACTTGTCCGCTCGCCAGCTCAACTTTGGCAAATGCTTGTTGACGGATCCCAGAGCTTTCACAGACCGATGCTGTGAGCAATTAGTAGTGAAAGTGGACATTGAGGGCCTACTACTAAGCGAAGAAGATCCGGTCGAGGCAATAATTAAATCTGGGAGGGATGCATGTGCCCAACAACAGAACGGGGAATCAGAAATGACTGAGCGGAACCTATGTGTGATGTGTAAAAGGGCGATGGAAGAGATGAATAGAAGAAAGCAAGCGGCGTAAGCATGATGATAACTGTAGTGCTTATTCTGTATCAGTGCAACCGAGCAAATGTATGAGCTCAAGTCACGAGAGCGCTCGACTCGGGAAGTTAATCCCGAAATGGAACGTTGCGGGTGGCAAGTTCCCCCTCGAGTCCTTGATCTCCGAATCCTCTTTCCCCCTCTCGTAAGTTGGAAGTTACAAGTATTCACAAAGCAGATTTCGACCTAAGGATCCAAATAAGCCACCGCCCGAATCGATGCTCGGTGTCAAGACGTTTATCGTTGTTTAAATGCCCAATCACCAGTATCGTATCGACAAATTTGAAATGGATAGCGTCCACGGATAAATGATATATGTAAATGCGCCCTTCCCAGCAAACTATCCGATAGATGGAGCAAATGTCAATTTTGGGGACACCGACAGATACATTTCTCGGAGCCGGAGAATGGATCAAGGCGACGCGTCCGAAGACGAAAAAAATTAGAGTCGAAATAGACTGACCGACAGAGAATGGAAACGGAGATTATGGGGCCCCATCTCATTACCCGATCGAGTTGCGTTCTCTGCGGTATAAATAGAGAGAGCTTTCACTCGCTGAAGTTCATCGACAATTTCGTCTTCGAGTTCATTCGTCTACCCAAGAAATGCACCTCTCCAAGGCCTTTTTTGTGTCCTTGCTCCCTCTCATTCCAATCCTGATCTCCTCATCCGTGAGTCCACTTCCTTCGTCGTCAGGTTAGCTAGCACCTTCTCATACTTTTTTTTAAATTCGAAACCCAGGGGTTCGTAGCCGGAGCTCCATCTTCGGTGTCCGAAATCAGTAGCTCGGACCCTCGCAAGACGATTCGTGAAGTATGCCAGTCGAGTGATCATAGAAAATACCTCAAGCGATGTTGTAGCCAAATCAGCGGTTGGCTTGGAGGCAGAGTCAATCATACCAATTTTAAGGATATTAATGGATTCCTCAAAATTGTGGGAACGAGATGCCTGTTGCACGGATTTTCGGACAACTATTACCAAATAACGTGTTCTCTCTGCCTCGAGTTCTTGAATGTTATCGGTTTGCCATTGCAGGGAAGAGATAGTGGTCACGACTAGAGTCAGTATCAGTGTACATATGCATGCAGAACATGGCTAAGCAAGTGTATCAGTCCTCTACATCATACTTTGGGGTGTAAATCATAAATGCCAGTTTGACCGTTTGCTCTCACGCCACTTTGTTCAAGATCTTCGGTCTTTAGCTTTAACAGTCGACTGGTTCAGTGTAATCCTTTCGGCTTGTACCCCCTTCCCCGGGATTATCGGTACACTGTTGAAAGCATGAATGTTTTCTCCACTCGCTTCTAGGATGACGTTGAAGATTGAATAGATATCAGCTAAGAACGGCATATAACGGAGCCAACCTGAAGAAACAGAGACTTACTCTGGGCAACATTGACCGCTTTTCTCGCAAACCTCGCCCTCCATGTCAACATCAACAGGAATATCCCGCACGTCTTTTCGGAACCTCCTGTCTCTTTTGCTCTTACTGGGTATCGTCTCGGTACGTGAAATTATCGACTATTTACCGTTCTACATACACTAACCTTCAACTAAGAGGTTTGCGGCGCTAGGAGCCCCAATTCCAATACCTGAATGTGATGCCGACTCCAAGACCACCGACTTGATTCCGAATAACTGTTTAGAGAGTAGAACGCTCGATGTATCGACCTCACTGGACACCGGAGAGAAGGGAATAGTCGCTAGCGTGGATGTGGGCTTGAACGGGGAGGATGAAGGGACTGGGAAAGGTGGAGAGAGGGAAGATTCAGATTCAGATTCAGATTCAGATTCAGACGAGGAGAGCGACAGTGACGAGTCGGATTCGGAAAGCAGTGGTGATGAGTCTGACTCGAGTGATGAAGAAGACGAGGGAAGCAGGGAGGTGGAAGGGCTTATTTAGGAAGGAGTGATCAAGAGGGAAACAGACTGCTCCATATAAGTATGTAGTGAACGCCAGGAAGGAGCCACTGACACTGGAGGATCATGGTTGACTTATTGAAGGCTTAGACTGTTGTCTAGCCGTGTATTGCACCTACTTGTTCATACCCTTCACTCATGGACATGAAGCTTGTTTGATTGAAAGTGTGAAATTAGGCACTTCGTACTCGAAGTTGGCTCGGTTTTGGCTATGCCGGAACAGATGTGACATTTGGAACGGTGTATTAATTTACCAAGTTGATTAACGTTAACATATTGGTTCGATGGCGTAGTTGGTTATCGCATCTGTCTAACATTCTCGCTTTCCTAGGTGTGTGGCTGTTACACAGAAGGTCCCCAGTTCGAGCCTGGGTCGAATCATGGTTCCATCGTTTTCTTTTTCACCCTTTACACCACATGCCTTCGATAATCGCGCTCCCGTTATGCCAGCCTCCATAGGACGACTCTCACACCAATATTTTCCCACGCAAGCACCGCCTTTCCTCAGCACCAAGGTGTGAACGTGAACAACGCATGTTATACTAAAACATAACGCAAGGCGCCGTCGAGCGGCAGCACCCGCTACTGCCTGTCTGTAAGCACACGTCCAAATCTCTGAACATGCTGAATGCCCGTATTTTGCGACAACCTCAATTCTGATAGGTGTGAAAATCGTTCAAACACCTCGCAAAGACCTTTAAATGGACGGTTTTTGAAATACACAATTACACTTCCCAGAGTGATTTTCTATTCTTTTCCTATGGCAGCTGCTCGTCGCCCAGCCTTCGGCTGGCTCCTCGCAGCCGCAAGGAAGCACTTTTGGTGGCTTGAGTGCAGCTTTGGAGCCAGTGTTTGCAAAGACAGTTCAGGAAGATGGGTTTTATATTCAGTCCGAGTGTGATACTGATAGACTGTTAATCAGGATTAGGCCAGATAGTTGACAAAAACTCCAAATGAGCCGTCCGTGATGTGCTGACCGAAAACTTGCAGTTGGCTAAGGCCAGGTAGAAAGAAAAAGGGAAGACATAAGGTGAACACAAGGATGGTGGCCAACCCAAGTCTGTATCTGTGGGATTTATATGCGCTTGGGGTCAGATCAGAGAATATCCAATAAAGGAATTGGGCGGCAACACAGATGAGCCAGGATGAAACCTGGATCCAGCCACAGGGGTAGTTACGCGCGTACACGGTGAGCTGAGGTGGGTGGCGGCTGTGCTGCTATCAGCGGTTGGTTGCTGACTCGCTTTGAAAAGTGGAACCATGTAGTTTTGTACTGTACCTGAGGGACGAGGCGGTGAGTGGAAATTGGAATGTCGATGCACCGCAGACGTTGGACACCATGGAAGACTGAGACGTTGATGGTGGACGCAGAGTCGCAGACTGAGAAAAGGAAGAGGAAAATGCTCGTGATCGTGGAAAACTAAGTCACGTTCAGAGGTGATCGAAATGTGCGCAAGTGCCAGCGCAATCCGGTAAAACCCTCTACTTGTCAGTAGCGGGAACTAAGAGCATCTACGACCTACAAGAACAACAACAATGCGTACGTACTGACAGCAAAGCAAAAAACAACCACAAGATCAACTATATGCTCGAAAGAGAACAAAGGCATGATCAAAAAACGATAAACGTCCAAGTTTACGGCGATGACGAGAAATGAAAAAGAACGGGAACGTGGGTATGGGCTGGGTATAGGGGGAACGCAATATGAGCAATAGATATAGATATTGGGTCCACGTCAAGATTGTCCAAGAGCAGATACTCATAAACGCCACCATCTGCATCTGCATCATGCTGCCTGTCAACAGCTATAGCACCCGTCCGACGTCGATCCACCATCATCAATTAACCGCGTTGCAACCCGCACTGTACCCGCATGGTAAAAGTGAGATGAGGTTTGGAGCTTTTAAGTTTAGAACAAAGCAGCAACACCCAAAACACCCGCAACGAGAGCAGCAGCTGCACCGTTGATGCCCAGCGAGAGAGCGCCGTTTCCACCGTTCTGACCGTCTGCACTAGTGGTCGAAGAGGGTGCTCCAGATCCAGAGGTCGACGCAGATTGGCTGCCAGATTGGGTACCGGTTTGACTTGCACTGCCAGTGGGCGAGGTGGCGGTGCTACAAAAAAGAAAGACGAACGGCGTCAGCTATCGGGAAATGAGAAGACAAGAGACAAGAGAACTCACGCAGTAGCCTCCGTCGAACTGGCCGTAGTCTGGTTGACTATCCTGAAATTTCCCGTCTCCGCATAGACCTGGGTGATATCGCTGATGTTCACCGCCCTGAACGTATAGTCACTCTGCTCCTCGACTTCTGGCATCACGAACGTGATTGAGTTGAGGTTGGGGTCTACATTGTTTGCGAGAGCGAAGTCGTTGTTGAACGACGGGTGGTGCAGTTGAAGGGTGAACACGGGAGTGCTGCCAACGTCTGACCAAGAGACCGTGACATTGCGACCAACCACGGCGTCCTGGGGTGCGTTGAGGGTCAGAGCGCTGGCAAGAGTCGCGAGAGTAGAGAGAAGACTGATATCAAACACCAGAATAAGTTAGCGCCAAAGACCGACCACGAGTGAATAGAATAGATTCATACCTGAGTTTGAAGAACATTGTTGCGGGTCGTTAGCGTAGGGGAAAAGGTTGAGAGGAGAGTTCAAGGTGAGGCTGGAGAGGGCGAGGGAGACGGAAGGTGGAGGAAAGAAGAAAAAACTTCAACCGTGCGAATTCTTCCCTCAGAAGGCTCAAAGGTTTTGACCATCACGGCTGGGCACGTGAATTGATGGAAGTAGGACGGAAGTTTCCATGACGTCAGTCACTGCGAATACAGCCGAGAAATTTCTTTCCTTTTCCGCCCCTTTCTAACTTCTTCCGTCCCGTGTGCGCAGCAACTTGGCTGTGTAGCCCCACCTCTTATTCAGCTCAGCTCAACAGCCTCAGTCGAGTTGAGAGAGACCAGTCACGAGAGTCAGAGTAAAACATGCGTGCGCATCGACGCGAACACGAGTCTTGCACGCCACAGCCAAGATACATAGAGTCTAGAATCAATTGCATCTTCGTCAACTCATTTCCGAGGACGTCAGCCGAGCAAACAAAGCTTCTTTTTCTGAGCGACCCTGAGCGCCTGTACTAAAAAGTTCGGGCTGCCTTTGACAGGTCGCATTCAATCATTGGGTAGAGCGAGTCGCCGGAGCAAGTGAGAATCAAGAAGGCTTTGTCCAGATCCTACAATTTGTGACTCAAAATGAATACACGAATAGATAAGCAACTGTCATGCCATGGTCGTCCAATCTTCGCTGCAGACGACTGCGACAAAAATACTCATCTCGAGTTCAAAACTTTGCATGACTCGACCCAGGCTCGAACTGCGACCTTCTGTGTGGCTACGTAAAGCTAATCCCCCCAATGTAAGGAGAACATCAACCAGGTATGTAGGCGAAGGACCATGTGCCACAAGCATTCTCTGGAAGCATTTGAAGAAAATCAGCTGAAAATGATGTGCCTGTACATAGAGATGAATATGAAAATAACTGCGACGCGGAACTCCGGAAGTTGGTAGGAGAAAAAACAGTAATCTACCGGACGAGGTACTCTCCCTGGCTGGGAGTCGAACCCAGCTTTCGCGCGATATCAACAATAATACGGCACTTGACAGGCGCGTGTACTAACCGATATACTACCAGGGAGTTGAGGGATATACGAGGTCCGAAGCTATAACAAGTTCAACCGGCATCGTATCCCCTCTCTCCCTCCAAGTGGGTAAATGATCATTCAGGCTTCGATATACCAATACCGACCTCACAGGCCGTCCAAGAGGCTGGTGATATGACAGTACTATATGCTCAGATGCTCCGTGTTGCCGCTCAGAACCTCTACAAATAGGCTAGACCTTCAGTCGGGATTCGGAATCAGCGCCATTCACATATAAACAACGTCAAAATGTTGCTTAACCTGGAAGTTCTACGGTGATCAGCATGTGAAGGCTCGAAATGGGGACCTTCTGTGTAAATTTCTCGTGGCGACATGTTAGACAGATGCGATAGCCAACCACGCCATCGAACCGATTATCACTTATGTTATGTATAGGATCCTGTGCGGCAGACAAGCATTCAAGCATTCCGAAAGATATTCGAGTAAACACTCCCAGGGACGTGTTTGTAGTATTTTCACAACATCTGTGTGCCAATGGAACGTGAAAAGAGCTAGATGGCAAGACGGCCCAGCTTTTGCACGTCGCCAATTCTCAACATCGTACGGAATGATAGGCACATGTACTACCAGGGGCTTGAAGTCTACAGAAAGTTCGATGCTATATCAATAGGCTGGTGATAGTATCTTACTTTGAGTTCCTCCGGCGTGATAATCAGACAGGCCTCGATATACTAGAACCGGTCTGGAGAACTGTCCAAGAAGGTGATACTTAACAGTACCATATGCTTAGGTTCTCCGGGTCACCCAGGCCTGCAGTCGGGACTCGAAATCAACGCTATTCACATATAAACTAACGTCAAAACGATCCTTAACAATCGGCTAACTGAAAAAATCTACGGTGGTTCGGCAACCACAGTATATAGTCCCCGGTAAGACGCCCAAGGTTGGTGCATCAGACGCCAGTCCATATATTGAGACTTGAGTCCCCAGCCCGAGTCGGTACGTGCGCGCACAAACAGTAAAGCTCGGTCCCTCACAGGAAATCCAAACTGTATGGTCCGGGTTTATGGGCTACAGACTGAGGCGGTGAAAATTGATGTCCCTTTCTAATCTGGAAGTATCTTCGACGACAGTCAACTGGCCGTTCTGGTGAGGGCTATGTCTCAGAATGTCTAATGGGAGCCTATATAAATTTTTTGGAGCACATAGATCACAATTTGAGAGCTTTATGAAGAAGCATTCCAAGGTGTACAAGGAGAAGGGGCCGGGAGGAGCTCCTGGCGCGCGTGTTTCGGAGCTATTTCCAAATTAGGAAGGGACATCAATCTTCGCACCGCCTGTATAAAAGCAGGTGAGCAAAAGGAGAGGTTGAACTAGTCCAAAGTCCCGCACAAACTCCGATGCACGCTTCGCCTCTCGCGATTCTTTCTCTCGTCCTCGCTGCAACTCATGCGGCCCTAGCCGCCGATTCCGAGGGTCCGACCCGGCTTATGATCCAAACTCTCAAGCTTAAAGACAGTCTCGCAAAGCTTGCTAAAACAACGAAGGCCTTCTATCACTCGAGCAATACGACCATCTCCCAAGCATTCATCGGCGCCGTCCTCTCCGACCCTCCTCTTTCTGCAATTCAGTGGTTCGGTAAGTCCCTACCGGCGACAGCGTGTTGAGCCCTTTCACAAACCATAGCTATACCTGCAACCAGTTATCCCCAACAACACCACCACCCAACCAACCGACTTCCTCACCCCTTTCCTTCCCCACACCATAAACTCAGAGTCAGGAATCACCCAAACCTACGTGACCCTTCCCAATACCTCTCTCCTTCTCAGCGCCGCCCGCGATGGGTTATACACACAAACGTCTATCACTACAATTCTAGCTCACGTCGACCGAGTCCAACTCGAAGCTGACTCGTACGTGTTGGCAAAATCGGCGATGGAAGATGGGGGCGCCTATGCCAGCACATATGGCTACGGAGATGGGGACGGGGAGAAGGGGGATGTCGAGTATGTGGTTATAAGTGGGTGGGAGGTTCCGAGTGTGAGTCCCAGTCTTGGTATTCGATGTTTGCATGTCGAGCTGACATTCCACGTTAGGACTTTGACGGATGGAAAGACAACATGAACGAGACAATGAAAGCTACGTTCGTGAGGTGGGTGAATTCGCTTGCGGATGTGCCTCCGCCGAGGTTTATTACGAATTTTGTGGAGCTGTGATTGGGAGCTGGATTGATACCACCTATGTATGTATTGAAGTACAGTGAGTTTGGTTTATCAGCGACACAATTTCACTGTACAGTTTAAGGATCTTGTATCTGTTGGAACTATGTACCGGTAGGAGAAGTAAGCCTCGAACGACTGACGACTGTGTTCGTTACTCGTGCGTGTGGTAGATCTGTGTGGAATCTAGCCTCGTGGCGGGGTTCGGTAAAACAAAACGAAAAGATCGATATTCGAAGTACCTCTGATCTCGTATCTTCCTCACGAAATTGAAGTCTCGAAAGGGATATCGCTTGCCATAAAATTGCCCAAGTCAAGTCCACGAATTTCAAAAATTAGGCGCCCAACTTTCGACCCCTTTTTAAATTGCGATGTCGATATCGCCCTTTTCCCACAACCACCACCATCATCGTCGTCCTTTGGGCGGCCATGCCACAAATCAGCCAACTTCACTCGGATATCATAAACCAAATCCTTGTTCATCTGAACACCCCAAGCAGATCAACAATACGACGTGAACATCGTCAGAAACCCTACGTCAACAAGCCAGGTCTACGTTCATACTCCTTAACCCCTCATGCTTGGCTCGTAGAATGCCGAACTCATCTGTGGCGACAAACTACTGCTCCTTCAACGACCACCTCCCTCAAAAATCTCCAGAACCTCACTCACAACTCCGGCGACGTTTTCGGCAATATATGCACCTTCCAAATCTCACTTATCCCGCTCTTTGTTTTTGCGACTCTGTCTGTCCCCATTGACCTAGCTTGGGACATCTTGAAAGTGACGGCTGCGTGCTTGACTATCTCGGGTGCACCGAGTGTTGGGATTCAAAGGACTTGTTTATACTGGAGTGAGTCTGACCAATTGATCGCGCCCTAGCCAGTAAGATTCTATCGGTTAACAGGGCAACGGGAGCGAGAAAATCCAGGGGACTGCAAGCACTTGTGACCATTATGTGAGGTCTCACACCCTCGTTTCCCTTTCAGTCGCTAATTTACTTGAACCAGAGTGGAGAGTTGCTTATTGTATCTGGTCACCATTTCCATGTTCTTCTTGTTTGAATTTGGTCTCCCTGGCCCGAGAATCAACATAGTGTCAATATCGACTCAAATCAGGATGAGTATGATTTCCTGTGTCCAGCAAAGCCATAAATCGGATCACGTTGAAAAACTCTTAGGGAATCGCCCCGACACTACTAGTGATAGTTCGAGCGAATCTCAGGGATAGGGGAGAAGACCCCGATATCTCGTTGAATTTGCCACCTGTCACTCATGAGTCGCCAAGTTCCGTCGAGGTACACATTGTGCTCGACCTTGTGAGGCAGGAATCTACGATATGACCTGAAACAAACCCGCGCCGCCATCAGTGGCGAGAGCGTTACCAGCAAAATGAAGATTCCAATCTCGATAGTGATGCTCGCTTCGCTCGCAGCTCTTGGACTTCCTGTATCTTTGATTTAACCAGTGCAATATGTTAGAATAGCCATTTTTGTCTACAATTCTGTCATCTGCCACCAACTAGGAGTCTCTCGGGTCACCTCTAGCGAGTAGTGCTTGCTTCCAGTCGCTTTTTTTGACGCCGCCACTAATCCAATCAGAAGCTCAATCGTCGTTCAAATCATTCTACCATTCTACAACAAATTTGGGGGCCAATACATACTACAAACCGGCTGCAACCAGGATTTACAATGCTGAAATTGCTCAAATGTTCTTATACTTCTGCTGTTACAGAAGGAGCGCTCACTCAACCTAATTGCCTTCAGAAGATCGACAGATGCCGATACAAGGTGAAGCCCAACAATCCTCGGGGTCCGACAGTTCCAGTTGGATTAACAGAACTCGAACCATAGAGTCCCAGACCGTCATACATTGATCAAATACCTTCGGACAGAAATCCCGATCATTATACACCTTCGGGACAGCTGTAGAAATTAGAATCGTATGGAAGAACCGAAGGAAAAAGCAAAGCCCAACTTATTCAGATGATCGAGGTCGTTGGACTCGAGGAAGAAGCTGATAGCTCTGTCAGCGGGGACTCGGTGCCAGACCACGAAGTCATAGCCACCATAAACTCAGACTCGGAACATGAGCAATCGACTCGGGGGTAAATCACAGTAATTGAGTGATTTGACTAAGATACAACCGATACAATGAAACAACATGTCCTCCAGGTGGTATAATAGACCCATGGAAGGGCCTTCTAAAGGCTGATGGGGACACAGCCGATGGAGATAAGGCCACCTAAGAAAGGTAATGGTTAGCCTATTGAAGAATGAGGGAAAGAGAAACGGGATGAAAATTTTACCCTCAGAGTTGTTCTCGCAGCAGACGGGGTGTGCATTGCTATCATTCAACGGTCAGTGATCTCCTTTATGCTATAGAGAAGTGAACCAATTCAACTCACCATCCTCCATTGCCACCACCAAGAACAGTGATAGGGCTGCAAGTCAAGCCGACGCCGACGTTCAAGTCCTGAATGACGAGCCCGAGAAGGCCGAGGACGGAGGCTACGGCAGGGTCCTTTGCGGTAGTCACGCTGTTGCAGCACTGAATGGGCCCAGTGTTGCAGTTTCCGCCACCTTGTCCACCTTGTCCACCGGATCCACCAGATCCACCAGATCCACCAGATCCGCCGTGTCCGCCGTGTCCACCAGACCCACCAGATCCGCCGGAGCCACCGCCGGAGCCACCGCCAGAGCCACCACTGGATCCACCGCCAGAGCCGCCACTGGATCCGCCGCCGGAACCACCGCTGGAACCACCGCCAGAGCCACCACTAGACCCACCGCCGGAGCCACTGCCGGAGCCACTGCCAGAGCCACCGCCGTACCCGGGTGCGGCAACAGTAAGAGTAGCAAGGACAGAGACAATAAAGAGCTGGGTGAACTTCATGTTAATGAAAGAGTGTTTGAGAGAGTGAATGAGTGTTTGAAAGATTGCTTGAACAGACGACTGCTGGTGTGTTCGAGTGAAGAATTATGCTGGATTCTCAAGGTCTTTTATACGTTTTCAGATACGCCATCGACTCATTGTTTGGATTTCATATCCGTGTTATTCGACCTTGGACTGAACAAAGTCGTAACGACCATAGGAGCACGAGAAGCGATGGTGAGCTGCAAATAGCCCTGTGAAACGCGAAAAGCGGATGTTGTATGGGGGGTTGACATTCGCCAGTTCGGTTGTCTCGTTTGTTTGATATTCTCCCGCTGACAGGAGATTTCGGTCTTTAGGAGGCGAACAGCCGTCTCTAAACTTTTCAGCGGGGCTTTGAGTCCCTTCATTGTGTGTTCGAAGGTTCCTATATTCTTTTAGTCCCATGTTCAGGCCTCCAGAGTCCACATGTAAATACTACAATAGCAAATACTACTGAGTAAACCGTGATCGCTGCGGATTCTGTCCTCCTCGCCCACAAAATTTGGCCTTGACAAGCGCCACCAACTGCCTGAGACAGCGAAAATAGTCGTTCGTCTTCGGTAATGAAAATACCTCAGAAGGTGGACAAATTAATTGTGATAGCACATGACACTCCCGCGTTCCGTAAGCTGAGCAATAGGAGGGATTCACGTACGGTGGCCGGCTATGTGAGGGCTGAGGACCCAGCTATCGAGCTCGACTCGAGTGGCTCAGGAATGAGGACACTGGCGGGACTGTGTTCAACATACATGAGTCGTCCCAGACTAACTTGACTCTGAATATAATTTGGGAGGGAGGCGAAATCCTAAGTACCTGGCAATAGTCCGTTCTTTTACGACCTCGAGCTTCATTTCGAAATTTATGCGATCGGACAGGACGATGTTATTTAGAACTGAAGCTAAGGTTTCTCATAGTACGACTAAACGTATATCCTAGAGCGTTGACATGCCTCCCGTTCATACTTCCTCATCCTGCCTCAGTCATTTCGAGCCACAAGCCATCCGAACAGAATAAAGAAAAACTTCGTCTTGAGCAGGCTGCGGCGTCGGAAAGAACGGGAAGTGCGGTCTTACTTATAATCTGAGTGTCGATCATAAACCAAAGATCGAAGGATGAACGATCGTATCGGCGTACCCCACAGGGTGTTGATTGTCTGTCATGAGAGGTTTCATGATGCACAATATTCCTCCACCGCTTTGGATGAATAATTTTGCGCGTGTTTCCACGGTAGCTGAGGCTATGAGTCTATGCGTGTAATAGTTTTGTAGCACATTTGCCGAATGGCAAGTGCTTCGACTCCATCCATATGGCTGTTGCCTTCAATCTACCTTGAGGCTCAAAACAAACACCGCTAGCGCAACAGACGAAACTATACAATCCATTCACTGAGAGCGATTGCGATCCACCAAAGGTCTTCAATCAACGACAAAAGGGAACCGATTTGACTGTTCGTTGCTGGGCTTTTTTCGGCCTTCCGCTTGAAGAGTTGAGGGGTAATTCAAGCGTCTCTTAACCCATAGACAAATGAATGTGTTACTGGACGGATTGGAGCCAGCCTGTCTCTTTCACCGAGTTGGTCGGGCTTTTTCTTGGACAGCAGGAGAGAGAATCGCCAAGAATGCAGCCTGAAAGAAGCAAATATTAGGGCTGCTCAATTCTCGGTTCGTCCGAGCCCGTCAGTTTATCTCGCGGGAATTTTTTGCAAATTTTGCCCGGGACGAGCTGACGAGCTGCGGACGAACTAAGAATTGAGCAGCCCTACTGAAACATGAGTCATTCTGACTCTCTCAAAATTAGGCGCCCAATTTTTGACCCCTTTTTAAATTGCGACGCCGATATCGCCCTTTTCCCACAACCACCACCATCATCGTCGTCCTTTCAGCGGCCATGTCACAGATCAGCCAACTCCACTCGGATATCATAAACCAAATTCTCGTCCATCTAAAAACACCAAGTAGGACATCAGTAAACCGTGAACATCGTCAGAAACCCCGCATCATCAACAAGTCAGGTCTACGCTCGTACTCCTTAATCTCTCACGCTTGGTTCGCAGAATGCCGAACTCATCTATGGCGAAATATCACTGCTCCTTCAACGACCACCTCCCTCAAAAATCTTCAGAACCTTACTCACAACTCCGGCGACGTTTTCGGCAACATACGCACCTTGACATTCCGGGGGCCAACTCTCCGTGGATGGACTGCTCTCGAAGACAATATCCGGTCTATGAACGGGTTTATTCGCTGGCTTGCAGAACACCAAACCGACGGAGAGTCAGAAGAAGTTGTCGCTCGAGAGTTCTTTGGGGCTGTGAACGAGGTTGTATTCTCCAGGGTCAGGTTCTTCAACATCAACCACGATGAAGACGAACCTCTTCCTCTCCAACAGTACGTTCAAAGCCAGGGCCGTAGGTGCTCTATTACACGGTTACTACCTCCGGACTCGTCGACAAGGATCTACAAGGACTCGCAGTTCATACTCAATCGGTGGTTCGCTGAGCAATTGACGAGTATGTCGCTCAGCCGGGTTGAGTTCGTCAGTTTGGACGAGCTTAGGGGCTTTGTTGGGACGTTTGTGAATCTCGAGGGGTTACATGTTGGATTGATTACCTTCATGACGGATACGGAACCTTCGGAGACGACGCCAGCGGTCCCCCTCCTTTCCCGCCTCCGATCGCTCGAATTTATCCTCAAATTTCCACCCAAGAACGTTCAAGTCAGGTTCTCGTGGCTTATCGATCTTTTCGTACCTTCTCCAAATCTCCAGGCCCTGACAGTCTCCACAGACATGCTGTGCTCTGCTTCGAGTATCGGAAGTCTTGTCAGACTCATGGATTCGTCGGAACGAGGAATCCGAGACGTCTCGATTCTTTGGCTTTGTCATTGGGATGAGACGGGCCTTCCCAAGTTGAATAAGGCCTGGCCTACATGTGAGTGTTACTCTACGACATCCTCGTACCCACCCTTTAACTGACAACAACCAACCCAAAGATAAAGGATGGTACACATTCTTGAAAACCTTACCGCCAGGTATCGAGCGGCTAGCCCTCGATATTGGGAATCCTTTATCGATTCTTTCAGGTATATTTGTGGACGGGAAACGTCAAGAACCTGTGATATTTCCATCGTTGACCGTCCTCGACTTGTCCTTCAGTAATTTCGGCACTTCCACCTCACCAGATGTGGATTTGAGCCTCGTGGAAGAGGCGATTCGGAAGTCGTTCCCAAATATAGTCAAGTTAGAGATTTTGATTGCATTGGAAGCTACGGTCGAGGAGACCAAAGAAGCCTACCATAGGGGGAACGGTGAGGATAGGGAAACTCCGCCCTATGGTACTGCTCTACGAGCCAGATTGGATGCGGAGCTCGAAAGGATCAGAAATGGGATGAAGTGGTGCGAGTCAAAGGGTTGCTTGGATTTCAAGGTTTATGTATATCGCAAATACTAAATGAATTCTTTTATGTGTGCGCGTTAAAGCAACAACGCGTATCAGGGTACTATTTTCAGTTGGCTGACAGATAATGGAAATAGGATACATCTTCTGGGCTCGAAGCCGAAAACCCATCATGAATGCCAAAAAATTTTTCGAGTCATACCTCGCCTCCCTGGCTGGGAGTCGAACCCAGCTTTCGCGCGTCTCGTAAACGAAGTTTCATACACATGACAGGCGCGTGTACTAACCGATATACTACCAGGGAGTTGAGTTGCACCCTCGAATTTATCTACAGGATTGTGCCTAATCAAGAAAAACCACGGTAAAGCCAATCCATAATCTTCAGTGGCCTTCGGAATTCTTTACAAAAATGCACTATTAAAATTCCCTCGTCTCTTTCCTTTTCGATCCACCAATACAGGATACCGTGAAGAGCCCAAAACCAGCGATGGATTCCATCAGCGTGAAGATGCGAAGATGAAACGTGCGTCCCAGATTAGACGCCCATACTATGCTTTTCCCACAACCACGACCATCACCATCTCTCTTTCCAACGACCCCCATAGTACAACTCAGCTGCCATCCTTCGGCGAATACCAGATGACTCGTTCCTTAATACAGCTCCAATATAATTCACGTCCAAAGAAAAAATGATGGCGGTCAAAAAAGGCCTACCCACTGTAAACTTATACCCAATGTAGGAGTAAGCTAGGGCACGACCTAACGCGAAGTGGTCTTTGGGGCTGAATCGACATGTTGGCTCATTGAATAGCATTGAGGTAGGATTAACCAAAATAAGGTAGTATTAGTCGAGTTTGTGCCTGGCGAGAGTACTTATAGAGGCAGCGAAACACTACCATGATGTCGATAACTAATTCCAAACATGTCTCAAAGCCAGGTTCTCATAGTAAGTCCCTCCTTTACTTATTTCTGGGGCTCGAGGCTTACATTAAGTCACTTACATAGGTCGGCGCAGGTCCTTCTGGTGCGTTCTTGAAGTCGAGGGTGGATCTCTATTCAACTCAGGTTTTTTGTGTAGGGCTTATCTTGGCCCTCACTCTTCTCAGAAACAGAGTATCAGTTAGGATCATCGAAAAGAACGAGACGATCCCCCCCGGCCAACGCGGTTCTGCAATATCGGTCAGTATCCGGCCAAATCTAGGAACTTCAATGGGTTGATACTTCGCCAACAGCCACGAACACTCGAACTTTACAAGATACTTGGTATTCTTCCTGAGGTTGAGCGACAAAGTACCTCGGCACCGGTTACGATGAAAGTTTATCAGTCTCCCGAGGGTGACGCACCGATCAAGGAAGGGCCCTTCCTCGAATCGGTCGGGAACCAGCCAGAATACTATCGCGTGCGCACTATGATTAATATTGTTTGCGTGCCTTTTACCCTCACACTTTTCTTCGCCTAGGTTAACGCGATATTCCTGGGTCAAGATGACCACATGAAGACACTCGTGAACATCTTGGATAGAGATTATGGGGTTTCGGTCGAGTACGGGACGGAACTGACATCTTTCGAGAATCACGATAGCCATATAACCGCTCATATTAGCAAGGGTGGTCAGATGGAGGCTGCCAGGTTTTCCTGGATAGTCGGAGCAGAAGGGTCGCGGAGCGTTGTACGCAAGCAAGCCGGGCTAACATTCCTTGGAGATACTTTTGCTGGCACGACCTTGGTCATTGGAGATATCGAAGTCACGAAAGGACCGGAGGAAGAACAAGTGAGTTCATGTGGTTGTAGACAGCATCAAATCTTGCTGATGAAGTGGAGTAACAGGTAGTTGCAAGGATGTGGGGAAATTACGGCGATAGATTGTACGAGAGCTCTCTCCATGGTTTCTCGCGGATTTCTATCTAAATGCTTTTCAGATTATTCCTCCGCCCTTACAAGAGAGAGGGAAAGAATTATTATTGGTTTGCTCTTGGCGGCGCCAAACTCGACAGCGCGAAGGCTGCGAGTGGCCGGGATGGACTATTGGAGAGCTTCTACGATATAATTGGCAAAAGATACATCGAGTTCGGGGACCTCCGAAATCTCGCGCCTTGGACGTGAGTCGAAGGCCTCGTTACTATATGATATACTGATTGACTTTTGATCCTCAAAGGGCCAATGTCAGAATGGTGGACAAGTTCTCCCAGGGCCGAGCGTTTGTGGTAGGAGGTAAGTAAAGCTCATCCACTCTCCTGCGAATCATCACTTAAACCTTCCGTTCTTCCGATGACAGATGCTGCCCATGTTCACAGCCCTACAGGAGGGCAGGGGCTGACATCCGGGGTCCAAGACTCTGTAAGTGAACTCTGCAATACAGATTCAGGTGACGGAATAGTACCTGAACTTCAAACAGATCAACCTCGGATGGAAGTTAGCTCTCGTCATGAGAGGTTTAGCCCCACATGACTTACTTGACTCCTTCTCCTCGGAACGCCTTCCAATCATCGCCACTATGTTGGACAAGACCACGGAGCTCATGAACAAAACCTTCCAAAAGTCGTCGGAAAATAATGTGGGATGGACGCACGACTGGGAGTTGAAGCAATTCGGTATAAACTACCGGGGAAGTTCTCTACTTGTCGATGAGCGTTATACGGATTCAAACGGGCCCTTTGATCCTTACCGCTCGGGGCACGACGGTAGTTCACATGCTGGAGATCGTGCTCCGTTCGCTCCCAGCCTGATTCCTTCGGGTGGTGGGAAGACTTGTGGTCTATACGATCTTTTAGGCATTGAGTCCCACACCGTCCTCGTGTTTTCACGACCAGGTACTTCGCTCGCTGATGAGGTGCAGGGGACCCTCTCAGGATACGATCGAGAACTTGTCAAAAGCTTAGCCATCCTCCCTCAGGGTACTGGCTCCTCAGAGGTCTTGTCTTTACAGAGCTTCATTGATTCCGAAGGTTACGCCTACAAACATTACAAAGTATCTCAAGATGAAGAGCTTGTAGTAGTTGTGAGACCAGATGGGGTAGGTTGACCATGTTCGACCCCTTTGTAGCGGATATAGTCTCATTTTCTACCTCTCTCAACAGTATATTGGAGCCGTTGCAAATGGAACTTCCGGGTTGCAAAACTATTTCTCGAAGATATTTCTATAGGTGAGCTGGGGGCCGCTGTAATCTTTCGCAAGCAAACATACTCAGTTGTTGCTGGTAGTCGTTCTCGGATTCTCCTGTTGTCAACGCGAAATCGACACCTAGTTAGGACCCTCCGATGTCAATGACTTACGAGTGAGAGCGAGTGTATCATTGTTGTCCATTAAATTGAACATCTCGCACATCATAGCCGTCCAGAATCCATTGAACCAAGACCCTGAGAAACACATAAATCAAGTCCTTTTATTCAGATGGCATAGTAACCAGCAGCGCGACGCTACCGTCGAAAATTCAGTGGACAACCTATATTCTAGATACTGAGTATGTTTGAGTGTGACCCTCCGGCCCCAGCGCTCATTGGCGTCATTTTACCGTTGTGGATCTCATTGAAGGTCTCCCGAGCCGTCGATCGGTAGGAATCACAATCACTGACCAGCCGAGCCGTGAAGTGCTAGTGGATCGGGCATCAGCGAAAGTAGGTTCAAGATGAGGAGCCCAGGAAACAAGCCCGAGTGGCCTGAGGCTACCCTTAACTAGTCGATTCGCCACCCAGCCGTCTTTATCACCGGTGAAATGGATCCCGACGACCACCGTACCATCCTTGGAGTGGGTAAGTATATCGCGATCCTCGTATACCATGTACGCACTCTGAAATCTTTCAAAAAGGAAGAGAGGTAAGCATAGGTCCCAGTTGACATGGTTGGAACGAATCGTATTATGCTCGCCATCTCCAAAGCCTTCCTGTAGGCGGGTGTAGAGGATATGAATGGGCGAAACGACTGACGACTATGGTTCGTGTTTGTGTATGCGCATAAGGCAGAGGATACGCGTCTTGCGGGAGAACGATGATAGGTGTGCTTTCCTTTGAGATCACCAAGGAAACAAGTGGTGAGGGAAACCTTGAAGATTCGACGTCTTCAGAGATCGGAGTGATATCATCGTATCGTAGGATATTTGTGCTTCATATTATGCATGATCGTCAGCGGCATTCCCCAGAGTTTGGGTCTCGTGGATAGGCCTGAAGTCCTCAAGGAATGTTCTGAGTGTCCTGGGGGGGGGGGGAAAGTCAAGAAACGTCAGCGAAACAACCAACGAGGGTTCAAACACTTAAACGTGGGGGACGTACCCGATCGCAGCATCACAGCCATCTGCATCGTCTATCCTCGTCATCCTTTCCATTTCCCCCTTGTGTAGGCGTCTTCGTGTTGATCGTCAAGGATATATGTTTGAAGAAGGCGCGCGGTGGACGAGGAACCGAGGAGTAGATATAATCGAAGCAAAATCAGCGTACGTTGATGGGATGAAAGGTTTAGTTGAGGTCGTGACCCAGCCATTGATACTGCCTAGACGTTCTCAGGGAGCGAACGGACAGGACGAGTGGATAATTCGCGACATAAATGAGAATTGCGTCGACGGGGGGAATGAAAACGTAGAGAAAGGCCGACCAGTCAAACTCTATGTTGAAAGGGCGCAATAGGATTCATGACAGGTTGCTCTACGGAGAGGCGACGCTGAGAGCTGGATGCTGGAGCTTGAAGCCAGCCGGATAAGCCGATCTTCTTGAAGAAAAATTTGACGATGTTCAAGACGAGCATAAATAATCGTTGGATAGACGTACTTGCACCATCCAGCCCATAACACTGCCCACTGTCCAGCCAGATTTGACGTTATCGTTCGTTCTTCTATGGCTTGCTGTGAGGATTCGGTCGTTTGAAGAATGTCATCTGTCGTCATCCGTCTAGATGCGCCAAGTTGCAACCAAAAGCGCCAAAAACCATAATCATCGATAACCCTTTGCCTCCGTCACTCGGACACCTGGTTCTGGGTTTGAAGGGATCGTTTGAGCCCAGTGGAAAAAGGAGGGAAAAGGTTGCGGGTAGCAAGAACTAGAAGGGGAGAAAGAGAAACAATAGTCAAAAACCCGTAGCCTTGTCCGTGATGAGACATCTTCTGGCACTGGTGGCACTGTCATGTACATACCTGGATGACGCAGCTTTCATCACTCCGATGTGGTGTAGTGGCTAACATTGCTGTCTTTCATAACATAAGTGTCGGTCGGTATGAGCACAGCAGCCCGGGGTTCGATTCCCCGCATCGGAATGAGCATATACACGCATTTTTTTCGAGTCGAACAGGTCGCCTCAAAATCACTGGGCACCGGTGTCAAAATATTATTGTCAACCTCGAGTGCTGAACGAGAACTTATAATTTTGGGATCTTGTATGTCAGTCCTTGGTAGCTTTGGTGCCATTGCCGTGGGTGTTCGAACTGACAAGACCTCCAAATCCGAAAAGCTTCTTTTGTACGGATCCAGCGATAATCCACTACTCATGCTATTCATCTTTGCTGGGAGCGACTACCAAACTCTTTCTCCCGTACAGACTCAACCTCCGCGACGCCAGAATCATCGATGGCTAGTACTCTGTACCCATGGGCCTCTTCTTATCTTCGAACTGGTTGGCGATGATTAGAATCACAGATGACAGCCGCGGGCCGGGACGCGCGCCTGACGAGTTGTGAAATGACATTGACAAGGAGGCCCGCAGATACCGAAAGCTGTTGACAGTTGAACTCGAGTACACAGCCATTGATAGATGCGTTTCGAGATATATATAACATCTGCGGCAGGCTACAGCTGTCCTTATTACCCATCTCGTCCGTATCATGCTGTCAAGCTACGGAGATAGTAGAGCACGGACTTGGGAAAGATTGAAACTCAAGAAGTCACTGGTAAGAATGAACGGTGGCACTCTCATGCTAACACCCGTGCCTCAGCCTGAGGCTGTGATTGCCTGGAGGAAAATCCCTTTCGAAGTTTTGGAGCAAATATTCGAACTGCTACCCACAGAGGGGTCCACATTCCGTCTAACATCCCCACCTTGGGCAGTGATGCATGTTTGCAGGTGCGTTTCTTATCCCCAATCAGTCTTTGAGTGCTCCGACCCCTTCTGAGCACAATGGCACAGATTCTGGAGGGTCATAGCCCAATCCACCCCTTCTCTGTGGACAGAAATATACATCGATACTGCGTTCCTCTCAAACCGTTCAATCGAAGGCAGTACTTCAATTCTTCGGTCAATCCTCCCCATGACAAAGGACCGTCTCCTCGACATTCATATAAAGATCTCCCCAGTTCCGTTCTTAGTACAGACAGAACTTCAATTCCTCATCGACATCTTACGCGCTGAATCCCACCGATGGCGCTCATTGAACCTCTGGCTCTGGTCCCAAAATTGCACCGAGTGGAATATCCTCCCAATGTCAAAGTACGCCAACTTGGAACGCGTCGAGTTACACAACGTTCGACACCCAAAGTGGCAGGATTTTCTTAAAATCTTGGAGGAGACTCCGGTGGTACTACGACGTCTTGCTATTCATCCGTTCTCCGAGATTGAACTTCCAATACCTAACCCTGAAAATGGAATCCGAGCAACGTACAAGATCGCACGCTGGTGGAATAAGACCACCTATATGCAGATTGAAGCTCCGTTGGACATGGATTTATTATCCACCGCTCTTTCGTATACGAGGCATCTTTACACCCTCGTCCTAGTCGACGGTTCACCATTCACAACATTGGTGCCCCCTCATCAAGACTCAACGGACATCGAGATAACCTCTTTACGAAACCTACACGTCCATCTACGAGAGTACACAGCAGGAGGGGACATCTTTGGCACAGTCCCGGGTGTGGGGTTGATATCGCGTTTGAAGCTTCCCAATTTGCAACATCTCGGGATCCACGACTTACATTGGAGCAGAACGAGCAACTCGAGGCTCGCGTGTCTCGGGAACATGCTGAGAAGATCGTTCTGCATTCTCGTGTCTTTGACTTTGGACGGTATCGCTGTGGCTGATACGAGACTCACGCGGTTTCTTCGTCGACGGGAGTTTCGGTTTTTGGAAAGGCTGGAAGTGGGGGGACAGCCGTTTAGTTGTATTTTTGAGTGTCTTGCTGGGGATGAGAGGTTTTTGGGTGAGTTGGAGCGGTTTGATGTAAGGTTCGATGAGGGGGTAGTGCCGATTGAGAGTATTGAGAGATTTTTGGACTCACGGAGCGGTGGTAATGCGAAGTTGGATGTTGTGAATCTGCATTTATGTTCAGATGGGCTTGGAGAGCTGGATTTGGAGGTGCTTGGTATGATACGTCGGTTGGAGAGACCGAAGGTGACAATTTACGTTTCGGAGCGGCGAGCTGCGGAGACCAGGGCGGAGGTTCGCACAACAAGACGACTAGGAAGGATGTTATCGACGGTCTTGAGTGACTCCAAGATGACTCAACCACCGATGATCGAGGTAGGTTTGACGGGTTACACAGACTGATCCCTTCAAGTTACTGATTCGGGAATTTTGCAAGATCAAGTCCGAGATTCAGGTCGTCCTGCAAATGTTATTGGAGATCGAGCGGAGATTCATACTGGTGTCTTTTACGAACGAGGAGCTCACACGCGAGGTGAGCCTTTGAATGAGCATCGACTAGCAAAGTTAGCTGAAAGATACTTACTTCGAACTCGTTGACCCGGTATTCAAAGCTCACGGAGATAGACAAGGTACTCCGCGAGATGTCGAAGGGTAGCTTTCCCATCTTAACACCCCGAGAACACAATATCGTGGAAAGGGTCGATGGGATCTTGAGGAGATTCGAGTCAGCGACTAAGGCTACGACACCAAGTCGCTTCAAATTGTTAAATCATGTACGGAGAGTTATCAGCAGAGGGAAAGATACAAAATGAGAACAACAGTTTGACGTTATGAATACGATAATCACAGCAACACCAACAATATATCCTCTATACGATTGGTTGTGCGGTCTTATGCACTTCCTCCAAAGCTCGTACCGGGAGACCTTCTCCATGCCTTGCCACCCTGACCAACAACCTTTCGGACCGCGGCCAACAAACCCTTGATGCGGGTGTTCTTCCGGACAGGAGACTCACGAGTAGAGGAGGGCTGACGTGGGACTAGATTTGCAAGTATGCGATTCACTCTTTTGGTATCCAGCCCCAAGATAGGGAAGCCTCCATCCCTAAGCCTATGAAGGATATCCTGGGTTCGTCCCAACTTCGTAAAAGAATATGTCACTCAGTTCAGCCCGTTTCATACACCTCGAAACCCACTCACTATTTTGACTTCCACGTCTGTCAAAACGGTCGACTTTGATCTACTTTCCAGATTGGCCAAGATATCAATGAGGACTGATCTCTCTTCGCTGAGCTTGAGAAAACAAAATGAAGAGAGATTGTTAACATCATTCGAACCGACAGGTTATGGTGAGCCTTACCCTGGACGATTGCATTACCACCTGCCAATTCGTACTCGTCAAGAGGATACTCAAAGTTTCTCCCAGTTCTCGGATAGCGCGAACCTCCAGCCTCAGTTGCTGGAAGCCGTTTTGTAAGGTATCGTCGAGAGCATATGGGAAAATGCCAATTGAGGGCCCCTTGAGGTAGCGAATTTCATCAACGAGCTCTATATCTTCGACCAAGAGGGTCCTGAAGCACATATTTCGTAGGTTCACAACCCTCAATGTTGTTATCCTCGCGTCGAGGAGTCTCCTGATACCTCGCATCGGCGAAGTGAGGGCTACCCGTCCATCTCCGTAGGCCATGTCGACTTCGAGTCGCTCTAGCTCGATCAAAGGATGGTCATCTCCGGCAAGCCAGTCGAATAAGAAATTAGATGGTCCTCCGGCCAATTCCAGCTCCTTAACAGACTGAAATCCAGGCTGTTGGAGCAGTTGCTTTACCTTTGCATCCACAGTCGTAATCCCTGTAATGGACACAGATGTGATACTACAGCACGATCTCTCGAGCATGTTCGAGACCTGAACAAGATCGCCCATATGATCCCGGTGCATGTTATGAAGAGCAAGGTGCTGGAGGTTGGGAACGTTCAAATAAGGACAGAGACCCCATTCCGAGAGTGTGGCTACGCTTGAGCCTCGCATGCAGAGTTCGAGGTTCTGTAAGGATCTGAGCTTGATATCGTGCACTGGCAAGTGAGTTGTCCCTAGGGCCCCGTCGGTAATGACAAGGGTGTGAAGATGCGTACACTCTGATGCCACCGAGCTGAAAGCATGTAGATCGAGCGGCGCGTAGAGCTCGAGAGAAACGATTTGACTCCAACAGAGCGCTGGATGTGGATTTGGGGGGACAGTAAGGTGCCTGAAAGGATTCAGTACCAGTTCGCGCAAAGAGCGAGCTTCTGATAAGGCTAGGAGGTCATGTCGCCATTTGAATCCAGAAAAATTGTGTAGTTCTACGCGCTCCAGCGCGTGACATTCTGATAGCGGTGAGAACGGGAGAATATTCCAGGTATCGGAGCTACGCGAAGAGGGGTGGAAACATAGTGATCGCCAACGATGGCCTTTATCACGAATGATATCAAGAATGGCCTGGAACTGGAATTCTTGGGACGGCGGAAGCGGAGTTATCCGTATATCAACGTCGAGAGGGTAATTTTTCGTCATGGAAAGGACCAATCGAAGCATGGAGGTACTGCCTTCGGCACTACGCGTGGAAATGAGCGCAGTGTTAAAGTGGATTGCCGTCCACAGCAAAGGGGTGGCTTCGGCTACCGTCCTCCAGAAACTGTCAAATAACGAGTTTAGCGCCGAGGGAAATCTGCGCTCTTGAAGACTCGTAAAATGCACCTGCAGACACGCATGACTGACCAAGGAACGGAGGTAATATTGAAGGTTGCTCTTTCCGTAGGTAATATTTCAAATATCTGCTGTAGAACGTCAAACGGAATCCTAGATGAACTCGGAGGCTTTCAGAAGATTCAAGAGAGAGTTTCATGCGGTTAAAGTAGTTGACACACCTGTTTTTCGCAAAGCTCAGTCGTCTGGGTCGACGGTATGCCCCCCAGAAACATCCTGGTGGACGTTTGGAGAAGAGCACGTTATACAATGACATGTGCCTTAGGCTCTCTCGGTTCCCCGGGCTGTGCTCATAGAATCGCCATGACTACATATGGCACAAGTCAATTGTTAGTATCCAATCGTGAATCGCACAGGACCAACCCTGAACGCCTTGAGCGGATGTTTTACGCACGGCGATTGAGTATGATTTTGAGCACAACCGTGCAACAAAAGTGAT